TGCCATCCGAGACGTGTCTATTAGAGAGAAGAAGTCTCAATTCCTGGCATCAGAGCTTCGTTATTGGCCAGTGCAGATAGTGACTTGACATTGAAGCCAATGCTCACTTACCATTCTGGAAATCCCAGAACCCTTGAGAGTTATGCTAAATTTATTCTCTCTGTGCTCTAAAAATGGAACAAAGTCTGGATGATAGCACAGCTGTTTACAGTGTGGTTTATCAAACATTTTAAGCTGTTGAGACCTGATAGAAAAAAAAAAAAGATTCTGTTAAATATAACAGTGTTTATTGACAATACATCTGTTCAGTCAACCAAAAGCTCTGATGGAGATGAACAAGGAAATTAATATTGCTTTCATACCTGCTAATACAACATCTATTCTGTAGCCCATGGATCAGAAATGATTTTTGCTTTCAAGTCTTATTATTTAAGAAATTGATTTTATACGTCTATATAGCAGCCATAGGTAGTGACTCTCCTGATAGATATAGGCAGATATGTTAGAAACCTTTTGGCGGGACCAGCAGTTAGCGTAATGGCTATGTCACTGAACTCCCACGTAGTCGACCGTGGTTCGAGGCCCGGCCCTGGAGGCTTAAACTCATGCTGGGCATGTGTGGGTGCATGCATGCCCAAGATCCCGATAGGAGAATGGAGGAGAAGGGATTGTGGCGTGACCATCCCCCCTGGGGGGTGATTTCCCACTTTCTGTCTCTCTGTCTCTCTCTGTCTTTCTGGTGAGCACATGCGCCCTGTAGCCAAAACATCTCCAAAAAGCATATAAGGAAACCTTCTGGAGAGGGCTGACCAGTCCAGGGGCCACTAAGCATATTTGTGATTGATGGGAAGAAGTCAACATATCAATATTAACATAAGTTTGGACAAAGATTTTTCCAAACCTCATGTTTGACTTTGAGAGCCTCAAGCTTCAGTGGAGGAAGTAGCTACAGATGTGATGGAAATAGCAAGAAAACTGGAATTAGAAATACAACTTGAAGGTGTGACTGCATTGTAATAATCTCAGGATGAGACTTTAACAAATGAAGAGTTGCTTCTTATGAATGAACAAGGAAAGTGATCTCCAGGATGGAATCTACTCCCCATGACGGTGCTATGAACATTGAAATTGACAGCAAAAGATTTAGGATATTACATACATTCCGTTGATAAAGCATCAGCAGAGTTCGAGGAGATTGAATCTATTCTAAAAAGTTGATTTTGTGGGGATCAGCTATTGGCGTAATGGCTATGTCACTGGATTCCATGTAGTCGACCGCAGTTCGAATCCCAGACCTGGTGTCTTAAACTCACACCAGGCACATGTGTGTGCGTGTCCAAGATCCTAAGAGGAGAATGGAGGAGAAGGAATTGTGGCATGGCCATCCCCCATGGGGGGTGATTTCTCACTTTCTGTCTTTCTGCCTCTCTTTCTGGCAAGCACATACGCCCTATAGCAAAAACCTCTCCAAAAAAAAAAAGTTGATTTTGTGAATATTGCACTGTTAAAGAACATCACATGCTGCTGAGAAACCTTTCATGAAAAGAATTAAACAATGACAAACTTCATTTTACTTTATAAAATTTTCTCAGCCATCCCAACCTTCATAATCCACCATCCGCAACAGTCAGCAGTCAGCAGTAGGAGTCAGGACCGTCCATGCAGAACGGTAACCAGGAATCACTGAAAGTTCAGATGATCCTTTGTGCTTTTTAGCAGTGAGTATTTTTAAGTAGGATATGTACATTGCCTTTTTCAATGTATTGCTATTACACACATAAAAGACTAAAGTATAAATATAACAAAAAAATTCTTTTAGTTTGCTATAAGGCACATGAGCTTGTCCAAGAGAAGCTGAGAGAAAGAGTGAGAGAGAAATCACTCTCCAGAGAAGATGGCCATGCCACAATCCCTTCTCCTTTATTCTCCTCTTGGGATTTTTCTGGACATGCATGCACACATTTCTGGCATATTTTTCAAGCTGCTGGGTCCAAGACTTGAAGCACATGGTCAGCCATGTGGGATCTGGCTGCCTTAAACTCCACGCCACTTGATGGCCCCTGGGATCAGTATAACTTTTATGTGCATTGGAAAACAAGAAAATTATGTGACTCTCTTTATTGGGATGTTTACTTTATTATGGCAGTCTGGGACCAAACTTGCAAAATCTCTGAGGTGTGCCTGTAGTTTTGTAGATTATTTGGATTTTGTATTAGAAAATTATGTCACCTGAGAATAAAAAGTTTTACCTCCTTTGAGACTCATGTATTTTATTTTTTTTCCTGTCTTGTCAAACTGTATCTGAATTTTGCCTGTATTTGTACTTTACATAAATGGAATCAGAAAGTCTATAATATTTTACATTTACATCTTTCACTTAACAACATGTTTTAGATATTCATATATGAAGGGTCTTCAGAAAGTCTATGAAAAATGCATATTGTGGAAAAACCATGATTTCCAGACTTTTCACAGCAAAATAAACTTGTGTTTTTTGTTTGTTGGTTTTGGAAAGGTTTTTGCTATAGGACATGTGTGCTCACCAGAGAGACAGAAAGAGACAGAAAGACAGAAAGCGAGAAATCACCCCCCAGGGGGGATGGCCATGCCACAATCCTTTTTCCTCCATTCTCCTCTCGGGATCTTGGGCACACACACACACACACACATGCCCAGCATGAGTTTAAGCCACTGGGTCCGGGACTCAAACAGCAGTCGACTAAATGGGGGTCCAGTGACATAGCCATTACGCTAACTGCTGGTCCCAAAAAAATGCATATTGTGGAAAAAACATAATTTCCAGACTTTTCACAGCAAAATAAACTCATGTTTTAATTCTATTTTTCCATGAAAAATTTTATCCTTTTTTGTCATGATTATGTGTTGATGATTTCTTCTCAATGCTTTATAGATAAAGTATTTTTTTGTAAATATAGTATTCCCAAACATAGCTGTGAGTTTACTCATTCTATTGTTAACAGGTTTGTGCATTCTTTTTTTTTTTTTTTTGGAGAGGTTTTTGCTACAGGTAGTGTGTGCTCGCCAGAAAGACAGAAACAGACAGAGAAACAGAAAGTGAAAAATTACCCCCCAGAAGAGATGGCCACGCTACAATCCTTTCTCCTCTATTCTCCTCTTGGGATCTTGGGCTCGCACGCACATGAGCCCAGTGTGAGTCTAAGCCACCAGGTCCAGGGCTCGAACTGCGATTGACCACGTGGAAGTCCAACGACATAACCACTGCACCAATTGCTGGTCCCTGTGCATTTCTTATTTAAGGCTATTACAAATAGTGCTCCTGTGAACATTCTGGTACTTGCATTTTGGAGAATATTTGTATTTGCGTTTCTGTTGGATTTATATTTCAAAGTAGAATTGCCGAGTCATAAAATATGGGGTATTTTCTTCTGTTTTCTTTGACTTATGAATATTTATAAATTGTTATCCTTTACTGCATTTTTAATATTTTCTAAGGAGAGAAGAGATGAATGTATGTGGGGGGTTAAATTTCATATTAAATTAAAAACTAGTCATACTCTACTTTTGAACTCATCATTCTTTCATTTGTTCTTTCGTCAACTCATCAGGACATGAGTCAGAAAACACACATGCATTCTCTGTCTAGTTTAACTTAAAAAGAGGTTCCCCGGCTCTGTGGCTCCTCCCTGTCTATCACTCTTCAAGGTGCAGACGCAGGGCTTGCCCAGGTTCCTTTATCCTTCAACCATCTCCTGGTTCTAGTTCGCCTGCTTCTTCCTATTTCTTTAGGTATTTATTTAGAGAACTGTTCCTACTCAAAGACTGCTGAGCCTTAACCAAACCAAAGCGCATGTTTCCTTGGGAGTCAAAGGCATTTCAAAGGCCTTAACAGTTAGGAGGAAAGAAATCCTCTCACACATCTTGGAATCAATTGAGCGGCTTCCTCTATGTTTGCATATAGCTGATCCTGTGTAGAGAGAAGACTGAGGAATGAAATATCATTTAAATAGTTTTTATCATAATAGCAGTAGGAGGATTTTAGGGGAAATCCTTGCTAAAACTAAGATTTGGGGATTACTGGGAGAGTTCCATGTATTTCTGTGTCATCTACTATTTAAAAGTAATTGAAAAACTATTGTAATGTAGGCATTTGCCACTTTATAAAAGTATTCTTAAAATCTTGGTGAATATTCAATATCTTGTAAGTGAAATTCCTTAGAATTATGATAAATATAAAATGAATTCCATTGCTGAATACAGAATACTAAAATAACCTGATTTTTAAATCTGCATTTTCCTCGGCCAGTTGGCTCACTTGATTGGAGCACGCTAAATCTTCATTTTCATCCGATACCTAAAATAACATGCAGAATTTTTACTTAGGTTTTTAAATGAGGAAAATAATATTGGATCCTAAAGCTGTTGGGTACCAACAGGTGGCTAAGTGTTTTACTTCACCCCATTGAGCCTCAGTTTTCTTAGCTCTAAAATGACTATGATAAAACATAGGGTGTTTTGAGACTCACATGAAAACAGGTACAATGCGTAGAATCATGTTAACTATTATATAGCAAGCCTAGAGATAATTTTCTATTATTGTTTTCAGAATTATATGGGATGTGTTGTCTGCAGTATTGGCATCGAGCAATAAAAGAAATAAAACATTAAGAATATATAAACAAAGTTGATACAGAAAAGGTAACTGAAGTATTTAGCTGTGGAAAATGTATTTGCAAATGGTGTATTTTAATGAACTTGAAAAAAAACCCTTTTACTCAACATTTAACATTTATGTGGTTATTACAAAACCCGAGGCAGAAAACTCTCTTTCATGACAGTGAATGAAAACAATGCACGAATGACCAATCACTTTAAATATTTATAGAAAGAAGAGTAGAGGAAGTGAGCTAAGCTAAGGAAGGAGATCCTCTGGAGACCTCAAAAGAATGTTCCACAGCCATGCCAGTCGCCTCTACCCTGGGAATAGTCAACTCCTAATCATGTGCTTTTGTCTCTCCAAGGGAGAAGTTGGCTGTGGCCCGACTGCAGCGGGAAGTTGCTGAAAGGACCAGTGAGGGGGCCATGGTAAGTCCTGGCTGCTCTCTTCTGCTGAACTCCCATTCTGAGGTTTCTGCCTTGAAAGTAATTTTGTCTTATCAAGAATATCTAAGGAAAATATTTGCTTGCAGAATACTTAATGGTATTTTTGTAAATGATGTATTTATAATGTGGTTTAGATAGCCCTGCCATTTGTCAAGAGAAAGAGATTAATTGTATACATATTTTAAAAAGCTGGTGGGGCTTTGAAGAAAATGTGCGCATGTATTGGAAGGGTATAAGATGTTATTTTGTGATGGCCTACTCTCCAGCCGTGGGCAACATTTTCACGAATGAGCAATCTTCAGGTTTTAAGTCAGAGCAGTTCTCTCTCATTCAGTCCTCTCAGTTCTTCAAACTTTAAAAAAGAGAAAAAGCACAAAAGATCACCAAGATGGTTTGCTAATGCAGTTGTCTTTTATTCCTTTTCTTTTCTTCACTATTTGCAGTTTATTCCTCCCTGTCATTTTTGGCTTGCGCTGTTTAGAAAACTGATGTTGCTTTGCGTTTTGAATTGTACTAAAAATCAATAGGGTTGTTTTGGTCCATAGTGACTCCATTTTATAGACTGTCTTTGCCAAAGTATCTGCCTGTGTGCCACTGTAACATCAGAGATGACTGTCTGGGGACTGGGGGAACGCACATGTGTGGATTAACTGCTGTGCTGCCTCTGAGAAGAAAACACACTATCAGATTTATTTTTTCCCCACATATGATGAAACAATGGCACACGTGCAATTTTTTAGCAGAAGAATTAGTGGGGTTTTTTGAGAAGATAATTGACACATTTTCAGACTCTAAAGGCTACTTTCATTTGATTTCGTGAGAGTTCACTGACGGGCCATCCAGTGGAGAGAGTGAGAAATTTGTGAAATATGCTGGCCTCATTCTTCTCTCAGCAGAGCAAGAGGCTGAATGTTGAGTGACTTAGGGCAGGTACAGTAGTTCAGGAGCATGCTAATAAAATGCGTAGAGGAGGTGATCACATGGCTTATTTTGCTGGTTATCTTAACGCATATAGTCTTGAATGATTAAGCAGTAGAAAGAACTCCTCATGAGCTTCCTTGAGCAAAGAAATGGAAACAAGTTGGAGAAAATAAGTCTAGTCAGATGGTGAATGGGTGCACTACTAAACATTTGTGACCTAGGCCATTCGGGGCTTATAGGCTGATAGGAAGAACAGGCCTTGAAATAATGAACATCCATTCTTTCTGACTCTGACATTAAAAAGTACCTGAATTGAAATGATCTCAGGTAACTGTCTAGCCTTTTACAAAACAAACACCCATTTAAAATGACTATGGGTGTAATTGATCTAGAAAATACAGACAGGTAAAAAGATGACTACAAAAAAAATCATTCAACAAGTAACTTTGGAAAAGTTCTCATTATTTTATTACACTAATTTTAATGATGGTAATGAAAAATCAAGTTTGGTATATTGATTGGTTTGACAAATATTTATTGAAACCTACATTAACAGGGGATCTTCAGATAGTTCATGGAAAATATGCATAATAAAAACTTCTGAATGGATTTCAAAGTTTTTTTGCACCAAAACAAACCCATACTTGAGTTTCAATTCCCATGAATGTTTTAAAGTACCCTGGTATGTGCCTGAAACTATTTTAGACCCTGGGGAAACACCAATGAACCAAACAGGCCAAGACCTGAGAGTTTTCAGACTCAATATAATTGAAATGTTTGCTGGTAGAATCAGCTTACAGGGTAAAGAGAGAGTGCAAGTTCTAGGGGCTTGCCATTTTAAATAGAATGTGCATAGCAGTAGATCACTGAAAGGTTATATTTGAGTAAAACTTGAAGTGAAGGAGTATACTATGAGAATACCTAGGAGAGGGGCATTCCAGGCAGGGAGGACAAGTGCAAAGGCCTGAGTACCTAAGGAACTGCTTGAAGAAGAGGCCCACTGGAGGAGGTTGAGGGAGTGAAAAAGAATACAAGAGAAAGTCAGAATGAAGGGTGGCAGGGGTCAGCCAGGAGGTCCCCACAGACCACTAGCTCATGATCTGAGTGATGGGAACCACTGGTATGAAGCAGTGATGTGATCTGATTTAAGACTATTTATATTCCTGCCTCCCCATCCCCCTTCCATAATTTATCACAACTCAATTCCTCAGAGACACCATAATCCCTGATTTTTATTAATTTCCTGTTTTTTCTCCCTGTTTTCCAATAGATTTTCTTTTCTCCCTCTTTCCTTATATAGCCAAACTCCTCTGAGTTTCCTACTTAATTATATCCTTCAGGTCTTTCTGCTTCTAGGATTCATTTATTTCTGAAGTCTTGCTTCTTTCAGTATCTGACAGCTCCTAAAATAAGACAGTTCTATTAATCTTTAAATTCAATTTTTACTGCCACACTTTTTTTTATGTAACTTTAGTCATGTCTATTGCAGAAATGGAAAGCAGTTCATCACAACCAGATCATGTTATGTTCTTAAGGACTTTAGAGTTTTCTGTTTTTAGCTACCTGAAAGGAGAAATGGTATAGAAGTAACTATATATGAAGTCTTTATGAAAACTCTCTGAGGAAACCTCAAATGAAAATATGGACACATCAAATTAAAATATGTGTATTTCAGTGCAAAAAATTTCATATCTACACATTGTTTTATAATACACACTTCCATGAACTTTTTGAAGACATCCCTTATATGATTAAATTGAGATATTTATTTATTTTAATTAAAATTTTTTGAGACATTCTTGCTATAGAGCATGTGTGCTCACCAGAGAGACAGAAAGTGAGCAATCACTCCCCTAGGGGGGATGGCCACATCACAATTCCTTCTCCTCCATTCCTGTTTTGGGATTTGGGGCACACACACACATGCGCCTGACTTGAGTTTTTAGCCACCAAGTCCAAGACTCAAACCACAGTCAACTACCTGGGAGTCCAGCATTGTAACCATTATGCCATCTGCTGGCCCTAAGATATTTATTTTTTAAAATAATCTATTTAGAGATTTATTTAAATCATCTAATTAGAAATTTTTATTTAAATCAAAATATTCAATGTGAAGCATGCCTACCCTTTTAAAAACTTGGCTTTATTCAATACATATTTTTATTTGTAACTTTTTTATTTTTAGAGATTTTTGCTCTTGGGCATGCCAGAGAGAAAGTGAGAAACTACCCCCCAGAGGGGATGGCTGTGCCATAATCCCTTCTCCTCTATTCTTCTCTCAGGATTTTGGGCATGCACACGTGTGTCCAGTGTGAGTTTCAAGCCACCAGGTCTGGGACTCGAATCATGGTTGGCCATGTGGGAGTCCATTGATGTAACCATTAATGTTAGGGGAAGGAGGGATAACAGATGCATTAGTATTAGACTGTTTTCTTGTGTGAAGGAGGGTTTGATGTTATTAATGTGATGTGTAAATTTACCTTGTTGTGTTGTAATGAGTGTATAGAAGGAATATAATGCTGTAATTAGTATGTTAAGCCTTATAAGAAGGATTGTGAAGTTTGATCATGAGACTGTTGATAGAATGATTAGAATTTCTCCTATTAAATCAATTGTTGGTGAGAGTGCAAAGTTAGATAGACTTGCTAATAGTCATCAAAATGCTATTGGGGCTAGTAGAATTTGTAGACCGTGTGCTAGCAGTATTTTTCAACTGTGGACTCGTTCATAGTTAGAGTTAGATAAGTATGGGGATTAGGGGGACTAGCATTCCTTGTGGGAGGAAATGAACCAGAGATGCTTTGGGTTTGTGGTGGAATCCTATGACTACAGCTCTTGCTCATACTGGAATTGCTATACCGGAGTTTGATAGTTGGCCGGCTTTTAGGTGTAAATAAGTGTGGTAGTAATCCCAGTAGGTTGGTAGAGCCAATGAATAGAATTAGTGAAGTTAATATTAGGGTTCTTGTTTGTCCTTTGTTATTATGTATTGTCATTGTTTGTTTTATGATTAGTTGGGTTAGTCACACCATCTGCTGGTCCCATTATTTGTAACTTTAAAAAATATTATTTATTTAAGTTTATTTATTTATTATTATTTTTGATATTATTATTTTGTTTGCTATAGTGCACATGCATTTGCCAGAGACAGGAAGACAGAGATAGAAGGAAAGTGAGAAAGCAAGCTGTCAGGTCCAGGACTTGAACCATGGTCGATCATGTGGGAGTTCAGCATCTTAACCACCACGCCACCTCCAGACCCTTTATTTGTAACTTTTAAGACTATATACAAGCATCATTTCAAAAGATTCTTAATTCTTAATAAATAGTTTAATTACTTTAAAAGTTGTTATGATAGGGTGCATGCTCTTGTTGGAGAGATATAGAGACAGAAAGTGAGAAAGAGAGGGAAAGTGAGATAACATCCCCTGGAGGGATGGACACACCAAAGTCCCTTCTCCTCTTGTGATTTTGGGCACACACACACACCTGACCAGTGTTTTTCAAATCACTGGGTCTGAGACTCAAACTGCACAATTTGCCATGTTGGATCTAGCCACCTAGACCATCAGTCTCTAGCTGGCACAATAAACTTTGTATTTTGAAGTAATTTTAGATTTATAAAAAATGTTGCTCACTTTCCTACCATTTATCCAGTTTCCCCTGATATTATTGGGTTGCTGGAAAAGTTATGACACATTTTTTGCATAGGAAAACAGAAAAATATCGGTCATGACTTTCTAGCAGCCTAAGAGCATCTTATGTAACCATGGTGTAATTGTCAAACCTGAGAGATTAGCATTGGTATTACTATTACTAGACTCTAGACTTTATTAGAACATCACCAGTTTTTCCACCAATGCCCTTATCCTTATCTAGCTTCCAGTCCAGGGTACCACAGTGCATGCAGAAAGATTTCTTTTAATGGCTAGTTGAGCTGGAAAGAACACGAGCTTGGGATAAGGCAAGTCTGGATTCTAGTCCACTTCTACCAGAATCAATTATGTTACTTTGGATGTGTTACTTTATTGGTGCTTGTAAATTCTATCAACTTTTTGTTG